ACCCAGTAACATATTTTGATTCAAGCTACTGAGGCTGGTGTGTTTTGAAATGACTTTCAAGCCTTTCCCCATTTACAGAGGCATTTGTGAGCCTGACGAATGAAACTATCTGAAAACATAGTGTAATCTCAGGACTACATTATCATCTTTTCTTTAGCTCATGTTCTTATTTTTTACCTGATGTTCTAAATCTTTTTTTTTTTTTTTTCCTGAAATCATTGGAAAAAGACACAGGCCATCTCACAGGTCACAAGGCATCCTGGCCCAGGCAATTTGYAAAAATTTAAAGATGGAAAAGACTCAGGCTTTCAAAGTCTAGTTAGATTTTATGGTAACATACATTCTTATGTATTTTCTTTTCAGCTGCTAGGCATAGTTTATTTCAGGGATGGCTTTTTTAAAAATGAATTTCTCTTTTAAAAAGTAATAATTAATCATGCTATTTTAAGGAGACATGGTTTCCAAATGCMTACAGGCAAAAATACAGCTGGTCAGTATAAGCCTTCCCACACTATTCCACACTCATCCAAAATGTGCTCATATATCTAMACCTCTTTCTCCCTTCCCCAAAGCCAGCTAGGTCTTTCCACACATGGCAAGCACTGAAGGCTGGGAGTGGAGCAGGAGCCTTGTGTGTTGCTCTCAGAAGGCAGAGCACTAACTTGTTTTGAAGAAAGATGCAAGAGCAGCAATGCCACCTCTGCGGAAATCCATGYGACTTTTGCACCACCAACAAAAAGCAAGCTTTGCAACACAGAAGTTTACCACTTTGCAAAGTCAACAAACATTTTATCAGTTGTGTACACAAACTGGCCAGTCAGGGAAGATATTTCAAAGCAATTGAATGTTTACTTTAAGCGTATTTTTCAGTATCAGGTTTCTTCAGTCTGTTACTGTCCACTATTTTTTATGAACTAAACAAAACTACTGTTTGGTAACATGGAAGCCGTTAGATAAGAGTGGGGAGCCAAGGTTTTGAAAAGGGCTATGTTTCATTTTCTGAATATGGGTAGTCGAAACAAGATGTGGCACATCCCAGTTTACACATGAGATTACACTGAGAGTATCCACTCCTGTTAAAATTACAGGCTGTTTTCACTCAGTGACAAACATACTAATTTAAAATTTCAGTAGTGGGTATCTTGGTCTATCTAAGAATTTGACAATGGCTTTTCTCCAAAATGAAACCAGCCGCTCTCAAGTTTGTGAACACTTTATCAAAYATATAAAAGTAGTCGGCATTCAAATACAAAATAGCGTAGACATTTGGCCTAGTATTCTTTAACTACCACCTCTGCAAAAAGTTAGTTATCTAGCCTGAAGAACAAGCATGCAGATAAACTCCACCATCATTTATCTACACTTCCAATAGACTTATGAAACATTTCAGATCCTCTGGGAAGTCCAAGATCTGTCGGTCATTTTCTATGCAAATCTCTCATATAGTCACATCACAACAGTGCCCTCTGTTTCTCAAGAAAAGACTATGCTATTATCTTAAACATTACATAAGAAAAAGTAAAACAATCTGCACCAGATTCTTCAAGAGACTTATTTTTTAAGGAAGTTTTGCATAGGTTCTGTAAAATATGGCCTTTTCCCTAGTCATTTTGTTTCCTCAAACTCACAACAGGATTTTCCCTACATTCAGCAGTTTAAAATATTTCCATATGCAACTCTTCACTTGCCTGTTCAATCTATTGTACTCTTAAAGGCAAGGAAACCCAAGATCTAGACTGATGCTATGTTTTCACTTACTACAGTTACATGAATTGCATTATAACCATGGCACCCATCTCCTGTGACAGGCCAAACCTATCTTAGGGACTGGCTCAACTGAGCAGTTTCCTCCTCTGTTTTGGACCCCAAGGGAGTTGTTATACATGTTAGGTAACCTCACAGGTCACCAGGTAACCATCTTTCTGTGACTGCTCCATGGGGCCACTCACACTGACGTGTCGGGAAGCCCCAACATGAAGCAAGAAGGTGTTTTCACTTGCTTTTATTATTACTAGATTGAAATGARGCCTTAAAATTATTTATCTTTTAATTAACATTACTTACTCAAATTTTTTTTCTTTAAAAAAATTGTAAGAATTATTCTATAACTGTTGGATACATTGAATGGGGTTAGTTAAAAAGTAGCACAATACAACTCATTATATGACTGATTTTTAACACTGTTGACAACAACAGGATATGTCTAAAATAATTCTTACAATGAAAACCTTTACYGATCCTTTACTAAGCACTGTTATGCCTATAAATTCTTTTTAAATCTAGTTCCTAGGGTGCTATCCCATCATCACAAGCTGATTTGCTGTCCTACACATACAAAGACTAAAACTTACAGTCTGTACGTTAGCAGTTCTAGGCCATTTTTTGTTAGCAATCACAGCAGTGAAATGTAAACCTAAGCTTGTTTTTTGCACTGTTATTTTGATGTTTTAAAAATGGTTAAAGATTGTTATAGGATTCTTTCATCTTACTGCTACTTCATAGGATAAAAAAATGTTTTGTTAGAATTGTTTTTTACAGAGATCATTTTCCCCTGGAGTTGGAGAGCTATGTTATTTTACTAGGTGATTAAAAACAAGTTCTATTGGACATTGTCCTCACCTTTTCTGTCTGGTTTGAGGTTCCGATCCACTGGTGGTGGTTCACATTCTGCAACAGGTACTGTCCGTCTAGGAGGGGTCTTTGGACTGGACCTGAAACCCATGTGAGCGGGAGGAGGGACTTGCTTTCCAAATAACGGAAAATCAAACGTGCCTGGTGTCATTGGTACATAGTTTGTTTCCTGGATGGGTTCAGTGAAGCTGCTGGAATGCTGTCGTGGAGGAGAGTTGGGATTCATTGGGACATAATTTTCATCTAGATCTTCACTTGAAACACTTCCCACTGTCAACATGCTTCTGTTTTTCTAGAATTAACATATATTTCCTTTAACAAAATAAGTTATGCAATCAGCTGTGAATCATATGAATCTTTTAACCTACTAACTCAGATTAATATAAATCTACTCAAAGTGAAAATCACAAACATTGTACAGCTTRCTTATAATGTGGGAACAAAGAGCATTCAAGCACTCTGTCACTGTTGTCTCTCATGACATCAAATCATACTTACAAAGTGGTTATGGAAGCCTTCCAGCGAGTTAGATCGGTCATTCGGGAACGTACGTGGAATATCGTAACAGTCTTGAGAACTAATTTCTGGGGAAACAAGAAGAGAAAGTGGCTATTTACTTCTTGATCTCGGTTCCTGTCACTTAACACCAGGCCACAAGAATCTTTTCAGTATTTACTGTCTGCTCCTGAGAAAACACATACATACTCACTCCCCCACCTAAAGCTGTGGATGACAGATTTTATCCACATTCTTGAGAGGATGCTACACCATATGCTTGTTCACAGACAAACTTAATACTCATATCAGTCATGACTTTAAACTCTTGTTGGGTCATTTTCCATGGAAAGAAATAAAGTAGCTTTCCCATTTCAAGCAGTCAAACCTTCTTGCAAACAGACAAGCACAAGAGCAGGTTTTGAGATATCAGACCCTCAAGAGGGAATTCAGTTCTAAAATAAATGAACAACAAACATAATTTAAGGGCTAAAAAGTTTCCTGACTCAACCTTCCCTGCTGAAGTGCCAATTCAACAGAACTTAGTCTCTTGTAACAATAGGTAAATCCCTCTCAATCCTGTACAGAAAGTGTGCCACCTTCTCCTCTGCTCTCAGTTCCCGTGTATCAGAGACTTTCAGTTTGAATAAGCTGCTACAGATCCAAAGTTCTCACATTTTTCAGGGTCCTGACCCTTGGCAGTCCACACAAACATGTTCTTCAGTGTTGTGAGCAGGGTTCATATGGGAGCACTGGGTATATAGTAACGCTCAATGACTTCAGCCAAATGCCTTCAACCTCTCCATGGACTTGGACACCTAGAYGCCAACCTTACTTTGGTCCTTCTGAAAGAGCAATACCAAGCAGCAATGCTGAACTCAGCTACATGAGCTTGCCAACAACGATTAATGTTTCCCCCTCTGTTTTCTGAAGATTAGTAACACCAGAAAGATCTCTAGGATTTCAAATATGYCCAGCTAAAACCGAGTGCTCTAATGCAAACAAGTGTAGTCATCATATGTGCTTTGCTCTTTTGATGTTTTCCTGCAACTTTGCTCTTTCCTGTTTTAGACGGCAGAACCACAGACTGTAAGTGTGAAGTGATCCACACTTCTTAAAGGCCAAAACTGCCTTTCATACAGTCCAGAAAAAAAAACTGGAATGGTTCCAGCTTGTTTTCAGACATACACTAACACCTTAGCATGAGGGGAACCTTCAKCTGACATACTAAGATAAATTCCAGCATTTCTAGTCCACGGGATGTCGTATTATTAAATTAAGCCTCATAAGCTTCATCTCCTCTTGCAGGTGCAGTGTAATTTCTTAATTAGCAATCCTATCTACCAAATATAGAGTCTGAAAATCAGGCTGAGGCATTCTGTCCTTTGCCGACCTCCCTTTTCCTTTAAAAATACTGACATCAAAAGGAGACCCCTGTAAGCCAGATCAGTTACCGTTACATACCTCCAGATCAAATTCAAGGTCTTTCCTCTTGCTGATGACACATAAATGAGCAAATTCTACATGGTTTCAGCATCTCCAATCGCATGGCAGATAAATTCAAGTTACAGGCACCTTTTCTGAAGCCTGCTTTACAAAAATGGCAGTTTTTCAGATGCTGTCTTAGAGCAGCTGACCTTAAATTGTGCTCAAAGAAACACTGTGAGGAGCAGGCTCATGCTTACTAGATCACTGGACAAGTATAAAGAACTTTATAGCCGGAGACAAAAGATTAAAATCATTTACCTTCTTCTTGAAGAGCAGGACAAAACAAGGAATACTGACCTTTACGGAAGATATTCAGATCTACAGTTGAAATGGTATTGCTGCGCGAGGGTGGCACTCCCGCTGTAGGGATGCAGTAGCTGTTATCAGTGTCTGAAGCAGTGCGGGTAATGCTACAGGTTTCCACAGGAGATCGATCCGAAGAGTGGTGAGGTTTCGGTGGCCGAGGTGGAGGAATATCTGGAATTGTCTCCAGTTTTGAAGTCTGAGACAACGATCCTTCCGGAAAAGTTCGTGGAATCTGGTAAGTACCTCCAGGCGTGGGGGGAATGTCRTAGCTAAGGGAGATATGTCTCATCTGAGCATCTAAAGAAGATGTTGCTGATGGCGGATTGAAAACATGTTGCTCTCCTTCTGCATCAGTCCCTGATGGAGACGCTGCCTTCGGCAAAACATCCTGTGAGTAACTCCTAGGCAGGTTATATAGGCTGCAGTCTGCCAGCGCCAGTCCGGTGCGAGAGGGTGGAGAGTCGTAGAAGCCCTGCTGCTGAAAGAAGCCGTTCACGGCGTGCTTGCCCGCCGGTGGCGCGGCGCTCTTGTGCGAGGGCACGTTGTCGTTGCAGTCTGTTTCAGAGGCGGCGGATTTTGCYGGGTCCACGTGAGATCTACACGTGAGAGTGTGAGATGAGAGCATTGATGAACATATAAAAAAACAAACGTGACACCCTATAAACACAGCTTTTAAAATATAAACAACCGAAAAGGTTGTCTCTTCCATTTTTTTTGTTTTAATAAAGTGCAGGAAGTCGATTATTAAACAAACAATAGTACTCAAGAAGAACACTAAGTAATGACACACATACAAACGCATGCATATGAAACACAATAACACAGCAGTGCAGCTTTAGCAGCAGCTCAACAAATTGCTGTTTCATTAAGTCAGTGATTTCCAGAAAGACACCAAGCCTATCTGGAGCAGGGCTTGTTTGGTTGGGTGGGATATTGTTTTTTCTCCTTTTGGCTTYTAAGCTTCTTATGCTGCAAACTACTAGCACTTTAATGGCACTGCTAAAAGTGAAAATGTTGCACTCACTCCCTGGTTTTACAGTACTTGCTACCTTTTAATTATTTTTTAATATGAAAAAAAATGCTAAAGGAAAAATGATTGCCTGCAAATAAATATACTGCATGCCTGAAATTATTTGCTAACAGATGTGATTTAAAATACATAAAGAAGAGAGAAACAACAGATAAAACAAGAAATGGGGGAAGAATGGCCTGCTCTTACAGAAAGAAAAGGAAAGAAAKATCCATAGAGTACATGTGTAAAAACTGCATGCTTTTGTCTTGAACTGAAGGCATCACTGCTAGGTAGAAGTAGACAATGGTTTGCCTTGAATTTCTTTAAAAATCCCAATCCCCCCCCTCCTCCCCCTTCAGAAAGGCATTCCTTAATACTGGTTCTAACTAAGAGAGGTAAACCCACTGCCAACTTTTATTTCCTAGGTAGAATGATACAAGTTAGAATCGTGGCAAATATTAAGGCATCTGAAATTAATTAAGTCTACACAGCTTATATCATTCTCACAATGATATTTGATATTTGTATTASCACAGAACCATATAATTGTGCTTATCTTTGTATGTATATGTGTGGGTATTCTTATATATAAATACATATACAAAAATAAAATGTATTTCAGTGTACATGTCATGAACAGCTGCTGCTGCTAATCTTAAACTCTACTAAGCAACTGGACCAAACAGTTTCCAAAACTTTTCTAAGGAATTAAAAAAAATAAATAAAAAATCGGCAGTCCAAGTACCACAAAAAGCATTTCTCCTTCTTTTAGTAGGCTCTCGTTGTGAGGAGATCACTGCCACTATGTATTACTCAGATTTCAATTTATCAGTATCAYCAGACACAGCTTTTTAACTTAAGGGAGTGTTGGATTTATCTCCGTGGGTTCTAGTAATCTGAGAAGAAAGGAATCTAGTTTAGCTATTCATTTAGGTGTCCTCTGTTGTCACAGAAGAGATGGAGACAGTGGGAAACAATCCATTATTCTTAGATATCTGTCTAAAACTGGCATAAATTACTCCTGAAGCAGCGCTTCAGGATTACCCATGACACGTAAGTAATGAGGCTATCATGTTTGAATTTAAGAATTTTTCTATTTCTGACTGAATTGTGTTTCTTATTCTTTCTTGACCACAAGCACTTCTGAAAGCGACTTTCAAAAACCATGACATGAAGCAGTCAAGCCAGGCACTTGCTTTTCCAAAATATGAATAGGTTGTAGCCAATCTCGTTTTGCAAGCTCAAGTTTTAAGATAGCCTGAAACCAGGCGAAAGAGAGCAGCAAYTCAAGGAAATGAAAACAGGAAATTATCTATTAAGTTTAAAAAGTTTTCAAAAGTCAATATAAACTTTTTGTCACAATAAAAAGAACATGTATAGGCTGAAAAATTTAACACTGGGTATTTGAATTATATGTTACCTCCAGAGAAGTGAGATTTGGATGAGAGCTCATGAACAGATTTTATTTTTATTTATTTATAGTATCTCAGGTGCGAGCCAAGGGTTTTTTTATTATTCATAGTTTTTACTTGCACTTAAACAGTTCACCACCACCACCTGGACTTGTGGGTTACCAGTGGGTAAGTCRTTTATATAACAAGTGTATCTGGAAGTAGAGAGGCGTACACATTGCAGGAAGGTTTCTCAACAGATTGATCATGTAATATCAAACGAGCAAGCCTGCCCCTCTGCACTAAARCACAAATGCCAACAGAGACCTGGAACAAAGTTTTCAAAGAGTTTTAGTCAGAGGAATATTCATCATGATTTGAGCACATGGTCTGGCTTGACCACTCCTCTTTTTGAGCTGTTTTTTTTTCCCCAGCTGCAGCAATCAATACAACAGATCAAACAGAATACTATAAACAGAAAGCAGAAGCAAAACTGGYCATGTGTGTCAGTAGTCTGGAGCACAAAAAATAAATAAATAAATAAAGAAAAGAAAAAAAAGCAACCAGAATAAAAAATAAGGAGCAATATATAAATAAATAAACAGCTCTATCCTGACTACAGTTATTTCCAGAAAACCGAAGTCAGGGTTACATAGTTTGTTTGCTTTTCCCCTATTAAAACTTACACTACACCATGCAGGACATATCAAACAAAAAGTATTTTCAGGCAAGTTAATGGCTCTGTGATTAATTTCTCACACACATTCCAAAAACAGCTACTGTTCACTCACTGCAAGGGAATCTTTTTACTTTCAAAATCTTCTAACAGAAGGTATTCCTGCCCTTCTTCAGAGATAAAGGTTGACCCTTGGCTGCTTCACAAACACAGAAAAGATGAGGAAGACAGTATTTAAATACCCAATATACCTCTCAAATGAGCCAGAGCAATAAAATTTTGGAAAGATATTTTCCTTGCATTTTCTTACTTATTATCGAAACATGAACCTTTGAATCTCACTAAATGCTCCAGTCAGACAGTACTCTTTTTCAAATCAGAGGAGATCAGGCTGCATCAGAGATCAGCCCTATGCACAGAACTGCATTATTTCAGACAAAACAAGAGCATGATCAGTATAACTGCAAATAATGTTGTGAGGATATCACATATTATGTGGTACATTGCAGGATGCAGCARTAAGCACTTGGAAATTACTTATCTGGTTATATTCAAAACATAAGAACTCTTAACAGTTCCCAAAAAACAGCTCAGCTAATTCCTCTTTTTACCCCCTGTAGTCAACTACCTTACCTGTAAAGAACTCCAAAGCCTCAAAATAAAATTAATTCACGGATTATATGCAAAGTAACACTCAAAGTCAGAATAGAAAGTGTGCCTTCTGCATACTGGAAACTTCAAGATCCAAAGAAAAACCTTGTAAAAAAGAAATCATTCAAGTAACAATATCTGCCTATTTTATTATAACTATTACGCTTTTCTTCTAAGGAGCATCGGCACAGAAAATATTTCCCCATAAACAAAAAACAAAATTAATCAAATTATAGATTAWTTTTTCCAAGTATAGAAGTTAATGGGAAAATGATGAAAGCATTTATTTCTTCTTCAGTTGGTAGCGGGTAGATTGGAGTAATGCACGCAGTATTTTCAAACTGATCGTCTTCATAATAGACTACACAGTTCTAAGAGCATAAGAAAGAGTCTAGATGAACTACACACTGGCCCAGATTCAGTCAGACTTAGCAGGATACCTGCTACAAAGATGTAACAAAAAACTTCTTCAAGCAGAACTGAAATTCCATCATAACTTCTCTTTTTTTCTTATTACAGCTTTCTTGATAAAAGGACATACCTAATGAGCAAGTTTATTTAAATATAATACAACAAGTCCATCATCCCCGACTAACCACAGTATTTGCGGTCACTGCCTTCACACATTTCTATAAAAGCATCATTTATTTAAACGACCTCCATGCTCCATAGTATTTTATCCATTCCTTTATCAGTTCTTTGATTGTTTTATCTCCATAGGATATTCGGCCTTCTCTAACTGCAAAATATCTACTCTCCTGTAGCACCTATGTGATCACCAGCAAAATCTGCAGGCTACTCCCTATAAGACACACTATCTTGCCCCATTTTCTGCTACTTTTCAGAGTTCCCTCAGGCTTGACTCTTTCCGCTAAAGCCACAAACCACACAACTGCAGAAGTTGTCACATCTTAACCTTGGTGATTCTAAAAAAAAACATTTAATGTGGTTTTAGAAACCCTTCCTATGCCCATTCCTTGGGGAATCAAACTGGCACCCTGACAAGCTTCTGATAAGCCAGGGCCCTAAATTGGAAACTCACGATTTCTCTGCCAAGGCGTTCTAGAAATGAAATTAACTCCTATGAAGGGGCATAACCTTTAGCAGGAAGGATAACATTCCTCACAGACACTGCTACCACCAGCCTCAACATGCTGTTCAAACTCCTACCACGCTTTAAAAAAAAAAAAAAAAAAAAAGAGTATTGGGGTCCCCCTTCTCGTGCAGGATGTTTTTGGGCACACTGGGCTGTCCATAACCCACGCACTCTGTGTGCAGGTGGACCAGCAGAGTCATTCTGCCTTTGACTTTACAAGAACGATTGCCAAGGGTGGTTGCTTTTCTACGAAGCAATCATCAGTAAATGGAGCAGGAAAGTCCTCAGGCATGACACAGCAAAATGAAAATGCCCAGGGAACAGAGAGCACAGGGCACAGCTAAAACTGGCAGAGCATCAAGGTGTTAATGGAGAAGACACCACCATTAAAAGGTATCGCCCTAAGCAAGCTTGTGAAATACTCATGAAAACACTTTCAATGGAAAATGTAATCAGCCTTCAATGCACATTTCCACAATCACAAAAACAATATGCACTTCAGTTTTATTTTTTCTGGAAATACCTCAGAAGACATTATTTTGTATTACAAGAGTATGTATTACTCTTACAATCAGGGCTGGCAAAGGCTTCTGGAGRTCATCTGGACTAATCCTCCTATCCACCTCAAATTCCCCTCAGCAGAGGCAGCTCCAAAGTCAAATGAGGTTGCTCATTTTGGTCTAATGCAGTCCCATGTTTTCATTCTCTGGAGAATTAACGGAGCAAGTACTCTTTATTCAGCAGTCAGCAAGACTTATTTCAGATATAGTGTTTTAATACATATTTTTCAGAAATATGTTAAGACCATCATAAAACTCAAAAAACAGAAAATGAGTGGTTGAGTCTCTTGTAATCCAGGTCACCACAAAATAACTACCTTTTACTCATAAGGATTCTTGATTGCATCTAAGCCATGTTAATAATATAGGTACAAATGCCTTTTGAGAATTTTAATATACAGTGGTGTGGTAAACTGACAGTGGATGAYAAATTTCAGTCTATGTTACTGAATCCTGTCCGTGAAAGGTTCAACTGTCAACATTGTGGTGCTAAGCAGCAGAAAGGGAAGAAAATAAATTCTTCCAGCTTCTTCTAGCTCTAGATCAGACTGAAGAACTGCAAGGTGTGACTAAAGAAAAGGCAGTACTTTACTCTGCGTGCTTCAGGCTACAGTGTTGACACTGAAATCACTGCATTCATCTGACACTTCGTATTGAAAATTACCGCACACACTTTCAAAGAATGCAACACGGTCTAGTGCTGAATAAACAACCTACTACAGCTACAAGAAGTTCAAGCACAGAAAATAAAGAGAAGCAGCATTTACAGACAAGTCTCCCCTAGATTACATGCATCTAAATTTTCAAAGGCTGGTCAATTAAAAAGAAAAAAAAGTCTCCTACACAAACATTCTTGGCCTATACAAGTAAATGTTGTTAAAAAAAAGGTCACTTACTTCATAGGTTCAGGCTTTTTACTCTGACAGTTTATTAGCAGTAGGTAGTCTTGAGGATCTTCTTGACCAGAGGAAGACTCTAGCGGAGGGATGTTAATAAGCTGATAAGGAGGAGGTAGGGAAGATTCTGCTTGTGAAGAAGGTGGTGAAGTGTTGATGGGCAAGGGTAACTCAGCAGATGCTTGTAGAGGTGGCTTCACAGCATCTGCAAGCACAGAAGCACAAAGCTCTTTTTATAATGATCAGACAGTCCTACAATACATTTCTTAACAAAACATACATAAGGAAGGTTTGCTTTTTAATTTAAAATTACAACTACCTGGATGTAAGGAAAAACTCAATCATGGACATTAATGTTTATTTCAGAATAAAGGCATAGATCTTATGCCTTAACTGTATGATTTCTTTAACCTGTTTTCTGGTTGCAAAAAGAACAAAGACACCGACTGCTGTGGTACAACGGCTAAGACCACAAATCCATTGTTTTAATCAAGGACAGACATAGGTCAGGTTGCTACTTGAATTTGGCAACCTGAATCCACACTTGCATATATTCACCCTCTTTTTGATCAGATTCACTTGAGTATCCAAGGTTATTTACCAGTCAAGAAAGAAAGCCTTTCATCTGAAWAGCAACAGGAAAGATTTGGCTTTTGCAACAGAAGAGCCTTTACGGCTCTAAAGTCAATACAGAGGTCTAATAGTATCATATTCCAAAAAGTTTCTTTGTTAAATAACCCCATGTTTCATTTTAGTGATGTAAATCAAGTAGTTATGGGGTTTTTTTTCCTTTCTTTTTTGATTGTCTCTTCATAATTCTCTGCTACCTATTCACATATGTGCCAAATAAACGTATCCTGACAAATTATCTGGGAGACTGGAAAATACTACCAAGCATTAAGCAATCAATTCACTCCTTTTGAGTTTCCATAATGCATGGAATAAGAAGAACATACTTATAGCAAGCGATTCTGTAAGTCCCCAGACTCCAGAGTGAGCATAAGCAGCAAGACAAGCCTGGCACACTTCACTCAGTTCACTTCTGGGCAGTCTGCATGTTAGGGACATCCCAGGGCAGAGGTTGCATCCACATTCTGCTTACCAGCCTCCATTAGACTTTTCCTCTTTGAACTTGCCTCACTCCTCTAAAGCACGTTAGTATTTTTGACTTCCACAACATTCTGTAGCAATGAGCTTCACCACGTATTATGCACGGTGTGAAAAAGTACTTCCTTTTATTTTAAAACTGCTGCCTGATAATTTCACTTGATATCCTTCAGCTCTTGCTTTCAGAGGAACAGCAACAATTGTTTCCTATTCACAATTGCCATTCTGAATTTTACAGACTTTGTCGCAGCTTCCCTGAGTTGCTGCCACTTATTTTTTCCTGCTGCAGAAGCCATTTCAGATCTTGTTCCCCTTCGCTCTCACCTTTCCATGTTCCACTAACTCCTTCCTGAGAAAGCAAAAGGATTACTGCATGAAATGTACAAAATCTCTGCTAGCTACTGATTTATAAAGACATAATATTTCATTATCATTTCTATCATAACTTTCTATTTGCCTTTTAAATGGTATTGAGCATTAAAGGTGACACTGTCTAACTACCTAGAAGGTTGTCACCCTCTCTTTTCTGACCGAGGACAGCTCATCTGGAGCCCATTTATTTTGACATAGACACCATTTGACAAACACTGTGAGTCCTTCTACAATTTTTTTCCTTCTTTTTCTTTTTTTTTTTTGTTTTGTTTTGTTTTGTTTTTTTGGTGGGGGGGTGAGGCAGGGGAGACAGATCACTAAACTATTAAAGTATCAACTTCCTGATCTGAAATTCACCTCATAAATGCATTTTGCACATGTCAAATTCTGTAAGCTAGTTCCACGCTTTAAAGAGCAGCTGAACTCAGCTTCAAGCACTACACTGCTGAGCTACTTATTACTTACTTTACCTATTCAAGCTATTTAAAAATATACTACCAAGAAAACAGTAATGTTAGTTAACAACTCTCTCTACTGATAAAATAAAAGCGATGCTCTGTTTGCCTATTTGGATACTCTCAAATATTCTCTTTAGCCATTTACTCATTTATCCCAGTAGCCTACTATGTTTCCTAAGAGCACAGTAACCAACTTGCTTCACTTTGAATTAGCAGATTTTCAGGGAAGGGGTCATCTGCACACCAATGAGCCTTCTAAGTCATTCGGTTCGTTCCCAAAGCTCAGACASTAGGACTGCTTTGATATAACCAGGAGCTGGAAAAGCATCCAGAATATTTAACATGCAAATGAGTAAAACAAGAATCCTATTTTGTTTTGATAATTCCTGCATTCAGCACCGCTAGAATAGGAAACTTTCTTAGAAAAAGAGATCTTCCTTAATTCTTTTGTTAAGAGCAGTTAGTTACACTGTGTATCATTTTTTTTTCCCATAAGCCTCTTGATACTTTCCCCACAGATGAAATAATAAAATTAATAGGAGATAAAAAGAACATTTTGCCTAGAAGCAGAATAAAAATCTACCCTTTTRCTTCTGAAAAAAATATACATCTTCCTTAATCCTCCTTTTCCAGTACCTGTACTTCAACAACCTGAGTGGGGTAGGGTGCATTAAGCATTGAGTTTTTTTGTCCCCCTATTCCCCTCCTTTTCTACAAAGGTAGAAATGAAACTTTCTGCATCATGGGATACAGTCTCTATTCAACATTCTAATTATGGAAATACTTGTATGACATTTTCTCATCAAGTGAACAAAACACAAAAAAATGAAAGCCTTGCTAAAAAAAACACCATTTAAATGTCAGTTGCATTAATGCAAAGTATAAAAAAAGCATTCTTCATAGAATGTGCGAAAGACTAAAATAGAAATGGGATTTTCCCATTGTAACAATGAATCAGCAACAGATATGTAATTGTATGATTCTACTATTCCTCACAGATGACTCATTCAATCTATTTACTGCGATGCAGATGTTCCAATTAATTTTTTTAAAAGACCAACAAAATATTAGAATAATAACCTTTAACAAAAATTTACAGAAAATTGTAGTTGCCATAAAAATATACAACTATACAGAAGACCGATAACTTGTATTTTTACATTACTCATCTTTCTATATGCACCCAGTATGCAAGAGGCACATAAATAACTGGAGAGGAGAGAGAGAGAAAAAAAAAGAAAAAAAAAAAAAGGAAAGACTAGGGATAAATACATCACTTGAATGCTGCTTTTTAAGTATTCCTCTTTAAAATTAAGCCTAAGTGGAGGGGCCGGGCCCACGTGCAGGTGTGCACGCGGGCACACGCGCAGCACGTCGCCAGCGCCTGCTGCTGCAGCTGCTGCAGCCCGCCGGGCCTCGCGCCGCCTCAGGGAGACGCCCGGAGCGGCCGGCCGGCSCTGGGCCGCACACCAGGCTTTGCCGCAGGAGGCAGCGGCCTAGGGCCAGCACGAGACCCGTGCAACCACCCCGTTCTGAGCCTAAGCCGTCACTGTCACCTTGGTCAGTGACCRAAGGTCATTCAGTGACTGTCACTTCAATCACCATCAGAAAAAACAAACAAACAAACACTTTTCAGTAGTCTTTAAAAAAATGTTAATTTTATAAGTTTTGAGTTTTCTAAAAACCATCTTAAAGCACCTTCTCTCTTCKGAAGATACACCTAAGATCCTGTTTTTAAAAAAGCACTCTAAAAGAGAATTCAGGACTTAACTACTTTATTTTATGCTCAGGACAGCTCCACCTGCATAAGAACCTCCATAAGAGCCATACACATAAAGAGGAAACCAAGTCCTCATAGTTTCTATCACATGCTGAAGTTTATGATTTTCAGAGCTTACAGGGAGAATTTTGTACTTACTGTCTACAGTGTATATGTAATTTTAAGCTGTATTTTGGACAATTCACCTAAAAGTTTTAAAATCTTGAAAGCTTTTACATTCAGTATTTCTCCCTAAACATAATCTTCTTCTGAAGACTGTTCATTTATAAGGGGGAAAAAAATCTTTAGATAGGACACAGGCTGGAGTATCCAGGAAAATTAGTCAAGAAGTACTGTTACACTGTAATTTCTGTAGGTACTTGCAATGAGAAAAAGCATAGCCCATTATGTAAAGAAAATAAATAAATATTTTTCCCCTCTTCGCTATAAAGGTCTAATGCAGCTTTTTCCCCMAAAAATGGGCTTGGTAAGTAACATGGCAAGTTTACCCAACCGTGGCTGTGCCAACCTGTCCAGATCCAGAGGCACCTACAGACTCCTGAAAGGATGTTTTTAGCACTCCACATAACACCTCAAAGCCTCGTGACTAGGGAATTCGCCATCTGCGCAACAGTTTTCCAACCCACCCTCCTGCAGTCCCTTTCTTCAGGCAACTCTTCAGGGGATTCATGTGTTACAACACATAAATGTGATATATGCAATTTTGTTTGCCTAATGTACTAGCCTCCATCATCCACCTGTTAAAGCCAGAAAAACAAACACACACATATTTTTTATTTCTTAAAGGCTGCCCCTCATGCTGGAAGCTCCACACACTCATGCCCACCATTTATTAACTCAAGTCCCCCAGAAAATATCTTCAATGTAACCTCAAAATTCAACAACAGTCCAATAACTAATGCACTAAGAGGACTTACCTCTCACAACAGTCAAAACCTACATTTTTGCTTTTACTTCTTCCTACATCTGCTCATATGTTGACTCATCTTATTGAAGATAAGACTTTCTTAATGGGTAGGGCCTATTTTCTGCTCCAAACTGCATAACAGGCAGCGCAGCAGTATCCTGATCCAAGGACATCGCTATTACCTCAACAAAATGCAGCCACAGCAATGGCTAACACAAAATGATTTATACTTGAGAAGAATATGAGGAGCAGGGGGAGCAATAGGGATTTTTGTGCATCCTGTCAATCACTGGTTTTACACCCAACCTACAGTCAGCTTGCAATGCCCAATACAAAAAATGTTTTGTCAGAACGTAATTAAAAAAAAAAACAAAAGAAAAAACAAACAAAAAAAAACAAAAAAACCCACATTATCTAAAGATAATTTTACTGTGGAAAATATAGAGGGCATAAGACAAATGTATCAGACAGCAATTGTCTGAACGGAAATACTGCAGACTGAAAAAGTTGCATCTGAAGCAAGCTCTAATTCTTTCAGAGCATGGTCCATATTACCATTACATTTACATACATAATTTCAAATGTGGTTAAAGAAAATAATTTCTGTCATCACAAAGACTGTAAATATCAGCATCATCATCWTCTTCTCTTTTCTTTTTTTTTCCTTCATTTCCTTCAGCCTTGTTACCAATACCTTTACCCAAACTAACACGTGCAAGGAGCATACCTGCATATAGTGTGAATCTTTCCCCCTGCCGCTGCCCTGCCAAGCATGCAGTTCACTCAATTACAGACCACGGAGCTGTAAAAGTCTATTGTGAGATAGGATCATGTATAAAATATTCATTACATCTGTCTGATAAACTCTAGGGAAGGGCTTTCACAGTCTGTTCTTAGGTACAATCCATTCCTGTGTTGAGCTATCCTAATATAGTTGTTTCTCACCATCTAACCTTACACACTCAGTCAAACCAAACACAGTCTCTTCTCTCTTCAGCTAGTGGTAGATGTGGATTACAATCAGCCCATGCCCTGCTTATCACAACTTCTTACACTTTTGAAGTCAGCTCTGCCTTCTTCCTTCGTGGTGTTTTTTTTTTTTTTTAAACAACATCAAATCCTTCACCTTTTTTCCTCCTCATAGATTACTTAAAAACAAAACAAAAAAGAGATCATTTCTGTCTACTGTTCTTTGAACATTTATCCTTCTGGATGTGATTCAGACTACAACATTTCAGTGGAAGCCTTCACAACACCAGATTTCCACATCCACTACTCCATTCAAAAGGTCTCCCAGTGGATTTTGTTGCCCAAATTAGCAGGAACACATATTTTTACCTATAGTTATACTTCTAATCTTTTAAATTTTTTTTTTTCAATTGCCCACAGTGAACTTAAGCTATACTACAGCTGTAAGACTTTGAGTGATTCTATCTTTTTCATACCACACAGTGAAGATGTGTTTATTTGTGCTCTCATGTACACAAGGGCAGCCAGGTAAGTACATTCCTTCCTCACTTTCTCAACTCCTACGTTGCCTTTGATTTCTGAACGTATCCTGCCCACAGTTGCATTGGTGCATCACTAGAAAACACCTTCTCTTGCCTACCTGTTGCCCATATRAATGCTGGGCAGACAAAATACTGAATCATACAGCAATCACTTTCAGAAACACRTTGTGGGAGGTCTCAGTTATGATCAGCATGTCATAAAAATAATCCTTCACTCAAAACAACTACCCTTCATTGAATTTTTTATGGGGATGGTAGCTTAAGAGACTCAGAAAAATTTTTGGTGATAGTTTTTGTTCCAAACTGAAATCAGGAGAAAAGCTCTTTCTTCAGAAAGCAAGAATACTAGAATACTTCCCAGTCATTTCTGGAGATTTGGCTGGAGTAGAGGAGGTGAAAGCCCTCATTTTCCCTCAACTCACAAAAAAGATAAACAGGGTTTACAATTGTAGCCCCTTAAGTCAGGAATGCTTTAGTTATAACCCTCTTACTATTTAATCTCTTTYTAGCCCTGTGTAAAAAAAACTACAGCAAGTCGTGCAACCCATTAATCTCCACGAAGAATGAAGGAATAGTAAGTAAATAAATAAGGATAGATTCAGGACAGACAATGCTGGTGGCCACAAGGTATTTGTATGAATTCTAACACGCTCCCTTGTTCCCTGCCAGCTGCTTTCACATAATGTCTGCTTGCAAAAGATTTCATCAGGCGAGTAGAGGAGTACAAGTTAGTTTTTGTTTGGGCACATTGTTTTTTAATGAGTTGCAAAGCACACAGAGAAATGGTAAAAGCAGAAGTCTACGATTTTGCACCCACTCCTGCTTGCACAGTCGGGAAGTTGTTACATCAAATAAGATCCCTCGGATTGGGAAAAGATTTCCAGCATAAGAATTATWGTATAGCTCAATAAGCAATAAAATGGTATACAGACACAATAAAATACATCATATTATTTGACAAAGATGTTCTTCTGTTTAGCTTGACTTCAAGATTTCTTTTTTTTTGTACCTGAGACCTAATGCCATGCAAAACATCATGCAAGAGCCTCCACATCAGTTTCTATCAAACACTTGATTTGTAACAAATTGTCAATATCTTACTTGGCTCTACTTGCTTTTCCTAAGGTAGTAAGGAAGCTTTCACAGCCAGTACATATGGATTTTTAAATGTACATTAGCTACAGAWAAATATCCAATCTTGGAAGCTTTCTTTGCTTGGAGGCGTAGCAGAATTTGTTAGGAAAGACTGCAGAACTTACCTTCATCCGTAGGGTTGAACCCACAGATATCACAGATACATCGGACCCACTTGTTCATCTCCTCCTCGCTGTCTGCCACCAAATAGAAAACTCTGTCTATAGTGTTGATATCAAAAATATAACTGTTTTCAAATTCTTTTTTGTTAAATGTTAATCCAGCATCCACTTGTTGACACAAGTTTAAGTCAATAATACGGATAGGCTTCTTAGCATGGTCATTTTTGTAGTATTCCAGCACATCTGGATCCCCTGTTAATCGGCCGCTGCGAAGTACAAACCACCTTCTCTTCCATGCCTAAAAATTGGAGAAAAAAATAATAAAGGAAAATTAGATAGGGGAGATCACATTTTGATTGATGTAGCAATGGACTAGAGTATCAGTGAATTTTAAGAAGCTTTCTGTCTTCTATATTTGATTTTTGCTTCTAAAAAGAAGACAACATATAGTTAAGGTGCTCTTTACRAAAGGGAAAAGGATTTATCCAGTGCTCAAAAAAAGTCAAGAGGAAGAAAAAAGCACACAAAAACTTCAAGGGAAGCTGCCATAATCATAGGGAAGAAAAGACAAAATAGATCAAAGTGTCTTGTTCCCAACACCTGCTGATTCAGGCCATTGCACTTGTGCTCTGAATATTTCATCTGCATTCAACATTAGTGACCTACATTTAAAGAACATGCAGCACCCACAACATATGCTGCCTGGATGTTAGGGGAACGCTCTACTTGGACCCTCAGATTTCACACCAGCAGTTGTTGGAGAAAAAAAACAAAACAAAACAAACAAACAACCAGCTACATTACTATTTTTCCACAGAAATGGAGGGGGGAAATACAGACRAATGTTCTCATATTATCACTTAAAACCAGCCCTTGTGTAAGGTCAATCCATGGAAGAAAGATTTCACAACTGGATGCTGTGCTTGTAACACCAGCCTTCCTGCCATGGCAGATGCACAGAGGTTAGTCAAGGAGAAAAGCACCGTGAAAGCATCTTCCCTCTCAGCTAACCCTGTGAGGATGTGATCCCCATTACCCTTACTCCCCAGCTCAGCTGCACGGCAGCTCCTCAGCTCTAGCAGCAGTGAGGTGTCCAGTACGGCCGGCTCCCTCACGTGATCCAGCACCAGGGCAATGGACACAGAGCAGGAGCCAGGGGCCCTGTCCCTGCACTGCTCTCGCRCAGAACAAAAACGCGAGAGCACAGGCAGGGTGTGCTGGGGAGATGCCACCTCCTTTCTGCTTTTATTTAATCAGAGAACAAGGAAAACCAGAGAAGCCATCCACCACATCTTATACTGAATAATCACCTGCTGGCCCCAGATGATCCATTTTAAACTTCTACAGGGTATTGAAACAAGGTTGCAAGTAAGTCCTTTAT